TCCTTCCTTCCTTCCTTCCCTTCCCTCCCTCCCTCCCTCCCTCTCTCTCTCTCTCTCTCTCTCTCTCTTTCTCTCTTTCTCTCTTTCTCTCTTTCTCTCTTTCTTTCTTTCTTTCAGATGGAGTTTTACTCTTGTTGCCCAGGTTGGAGCGCAATGGCTCGATCTTGGCTTACTGCAACCTCCGCCTCCTGGATTCCAGCAATTCTCCTGCCTCAGCCTCCTGAGTAGCTGGGATTATAGGCATGTGCTTTTTTTTTTTTTTTTTTTTGTATTTTTAGTAGAAATAGGGTTTTGGCATGTTGGCCAGGCTAATCTCGAACTCTTGACCTTGAGTGATCTACCCACCTTGGCCTCCCAAAGTGCTGGCGTTACAGGCATGAGCCACTGAGCCTGGCCTACACAATTGCTTTTCAAGTGAAATGTTTTAACATGTTAAGAGACGAAGCACAAAAGTAGTAAATGTGTTGGTTAAACACTTTTGAATATTATTTGATTTAAACATTTCTTTTGAATGGCATGCAAGAAATGGCTTAGGGGTTCTCAGGACTGAGGAATCAGGATGGGAACTTTGATAAGAGGGACCTTAGTTCAAAATCCATTGTTCTAAAACAAGGTGCTTTCCTGGCATGGGAAGCAAATGCTGGGTTTTACAAGACCACCAACCAGGGCAGTGCCTTTGACTTGGCATTTATCTACTGTGGCAACAAGCAGCAAGGTCATGATAGGGTTCCTGGTGGAATAGCCTTGCTATTTGGAATAAAAATTCCCACAAATTACCTATATATCAAAGTTATCCACTAGCTAATAAACATGGAAGTTTTCTAGCAAATAAAACATGCATATCACAAAGTCCTTTCTTTAAAAGAAAACGCAAAGAAGAGAAAGAGCAAAGAAGCTGATGAGAGTGAAGCCTGATTTAGCAGATAAGTTTATTCGACATAGTGCATGATTCAAAGCATCTGATATTCCATAGCCAACAAGGTTTCCTATTCCCTATTACAAAATACCGGATACCCTGAATATAGCTAATTCAAGGTCCTCATTCCTTTTACCCTATACCTAGAATTAAACAGGTTTCCCCATTTAGCACACATTTCACATTCACTGAAGGCTTTGGGGAGAGGGGCAAACAGAACTTATGACTGCCCCTCTGAACCAAAGGCACTTAATGTTAAAAGATAAAGCACAGTAGAGTCACCCCACAGACATTCCTGTGTGTTCAATGGCTGAACTTCAGCATACCATCACTGGCCCATGTGGGATTCATCGTAACAATGTAAAAGACACTGATTTCCTTGGAAAAACAAAGTGCAGTATGAATATAAAGGAGTCACCACCATCCCTTTTCTGAAAATAATACATAAGAGAACTCTTACTTTACATGATTAGTATCACTCAAGGTTCACACATGGAAAAAATAGCTAAAAAATAATCTATCATAAATTCTCACTATGAAGTCACAATAGAATCTGATATCCTCTTTAGAACTGATGAGTTGGAGAGAAACCCAGAGGTCATGCTGTCCATCCCCTCATTTGATAGGGGACGGAACTTGAGGCCCAGGAAGGTCAAGTGTCAGACCTGGGGTCTAACCCCTGTGGCAGAGCCTGTGTAGGATGCGGGCCTCCTGAAGCCTAGGTCAGGGTTCCCTCCACTCCCCTTCTGCTTTAAAAACTCTCAAAAGTAAAATATGGCGATGATCTTCAAAGATGCACCACACAATAAAGCACATGCACTGACCCAGGTCAGCGATTTGGTCTCACAAAGCGGTTCCTTTGGCCGTTGGGCAGGTATGTAACCCACCTCAGGGTGGGAATTCTTTGCATGAGATCGTTCAGAGTTCTGAGGGAAGCCCAGTGTAGGTCAGACACGACTCCTTCTTGGATTGGGAAAATTCTTCTCGGTTGTCAGTCCATGGTGGGCAGGCGGTCGGCCGCACAGCGGAATCCCAGATTCGAAGCAGAGCTATCCGGTGTGTTCTGGCTACGAGCAGCACAGCGATACCTGTAACAATAGGACTGTGCAGAGAGAAAAAGCAAGGTAAGTGCTACTGGGTCTCTCGGCCGAGGGCTCTAACCTGTCAGATGCATGTTGCACAAAAGCACCAGCTGCAGACAGTGCTTCCCCACAACCCTGGCTGTATGGATACTTCACATGTATGCTTTAAAAAGGGCAGCACGTTCAAGAATTAACCACATATTTTCCAACGTCCTTTACCTTGTAAACGTAACACAGATATAGTACAAAGATGTTCCGCATTAGATAGAACAGCAAAAAAGAAAAACGTGAAAACCAGTGATTGCCTAAGTTTAGGCACATCCATATAACAGAAAAGCAAGCAGCCATTGAAAGTCATGTTTTTATATAATATTTAATGACACAGGACTTTTTCATGACAAAATGTAAAATGAGGCCAGGTACACTGGCTGACACCTGTAATCTCAACATTTTGGGAGGCTGAAATGGGAGGACTGCTTGAGGCCAGGAGCTCAAGGCCAGCCTGGGCAACACAGCAAGACCCCGTCTCTACAAAAAATTAGCTGAGCATGGTGGTGTGCACCTGTAGTCCCAGCTTCTCAAGAGGTTGAAGTGTGAAGATCTCTTGAGTCCAGGTGTTTGAGGCTGCAGTGCACCATCACTGAGCCACTGTGCTAAAGTCTGGGTGACAGAGCAAGATCTTGTCTCCAAAAAAAAAAAAAAGTTAAATGAAAAAGTCAGAATATAAAGCTGTATATGTGGTATGACCTCAGTGTAGATAACTACATATGCCAAGAAGAAAAGACTGGAAGGTTCTGAATGCACCACAGTGTGCACAGGAGTTATCCCTCAAGCAACCTGAGTTTCATACTTCCTATACGAAACCTATGCAGTATTCCTATCCAATAAGAATTAATATATATTAATTTTTAAAATTAAACTAAGTAATAAGTGGTAGATGGCCACTGAAAAAATATTAAGAATAACACTAAGATATCATTTAATATCTAAATAATATTTATGATATCATTTACTATCTAAATCATATTTATGATCTCATTTAATACAGTAGATTGGCAAAAAATTAAACAATAAGCCTAGGAACATCAAATGTAGGAAAGGCTGTGGGACAACATTGCTTTTTAAAAATGTGTTGCTTTGGGAGTTTAAATCATAGTAACTAATAAAGCTATACAATGTTGTGTGCAGTTTGTTTTACATCTGTGTTATTAAATAAGAGCCGGGCACAAGTATACACATGCACACCAACACAGACCTTCAGCACCTAGTACACACCAGACATGGGGCTAGGCATCTTCATCTGTTACGTCATTTGATTGTAACAGCCCAGAGAAACTCAATGACTTACCCAAGATTGCACAGTTATTAAAGAAAGCAGAATTCCAGCTCAGATCTAACTGTGGTGTGCTTGCTTTCCTGGCAAGATTCTACATTCCAGAGGGAAGGTTATCACAACTCATGTCTTCTTTCCCACTGCCCAATACACAAGCCCTGCATGCACATGTACACTTGCACAAACATAAGACAGCCTAACGCACATATCCCTGCCTACCTAGCAGGTATTCAGTGATTAACCACAGATTACTTCAAAAGCCTCCACATGCCAAAAATAACCACGCATGAAACTCTTGTGCCCTAGGATTGTTCTCCGATCCAAAATAATGGAGAATAAAAATAAACTAGTCATCCTGTGTGCCATGAGCATACACTATGAGTTGGCCCAGTACAGCTCAAGTCTCCGCAAGCTGGTTAAAGAAGTTTCACAAAGAAACGTGTGGAATAACTTTAGAATCTGTGCAGAAGCGATAATTTGGAGTCAGGAGGAAGTCAGCATGCAAAAGGTTTTTTATTTTTTAATTATTCTCCTTTCTCTCAGAAGAATAAAATGCTTCTTATCTTTATGAAAAGTATCTGTAACGTTGACACAGAAATTCTCTGGAGCACTTCTCCTGTAAAAAGAAAGACACAGTGCTTTGTCTTCTATAGATAGTGAAATGATAGCAACCAATTTTCTAATTTGCCTTGTGGTCAGTGAAGAATATGACATTAGCAATTCTCAGGTAGACAGAGGGAAGATGAATTTAAAACGTGCTTGAAATAATTGATAAATTGATGGCATCTCCTACTATGTGTGATCTACATGCAGTGGAAGCTCTCAAATGACTAGAGGTGACCATGCAGGAAGACAGAGCAAAAGCCTCATCCCATGCAGGGCCTACTCATTGGGCTGCTGTGAAACAACAGTGCTTTGGTATTTCCAGAACCAAGTTCCTGTGGATAATCCAGGGCCCCATGCAACCAAGCATGTGTGGCCAATTCCACACCGCAGCAAAGATCAGGTTCAGGGGGAGCTACACAGACGACATGACATTCTTGTCCCATAAATGTACACACATGACCAAAAACAATCAAGTGTTTCCTGATTGCTCACTCATTACACCCACAGAAAAGATCAGAGTAGAATTATGTTCCTGTCTTGCTGGAGATCTCAGACTGGTTGAAGAAACAGACTATATATCAAACAGCTACAAAGCATGTAGGGGTAAACAATTCTGAGGTAATTAGTAATTCAGGTGAAGGAGTTGTCCCTTGTAGAATGCCACAGATTTTAGGAAAGGCTTTTTTAGAAGGCAAAAATTGATGTGGATGAGATTTCCATGATCATGGCAGTGGTCCTCAGACCTCAGCATACATAAGAACGGCCAATACAGCTTGCTTAAATCCATGTTCCTAGGCCACCCATCCAGAAACTCTGATTCAGGAAGTCTAGTATGGGGCTCAAGAACCTACTTCTAACAAGTTTCTAGGTGCTGCTGATGCTACAGGCCCATGGGCCACACTTTGAGTAACACTGGTTTATAGGATTTAGAAGGGCAAGTTGAGAGGATAGCAAGGCCACAGCCTGATAATATCAGAGCATGGTTTAATTATTCATTGAATATATAAGAGCTTACAATATGCCAGATGCTATTTTAGGTATGGCGGATACAATCAGAACAAGACAAACAAGATACCTGTTATCAGGGAGCTGACATTCAACAGGGAATTGTCAGACAATAAATCAACCAATACCTTCAAGCTGTTTTCCAGGAGTAGTCACCTCTGCAGGAAGGAAAATAGGGAAAGAGGACTGAGAGTGACTGGGTAGCTACTTTAGATAGGGTCGTGGTCGGGAAAGGCCCCTCTAAGATCACATGTGGGCTGAGTTGCTCAAAGATCTGGAGCATGAGAATTCCAGGCAAGAGCAATGACTGTCTTTGGGGTAACTGGCTTCCTCACTAAAACAACAAAGGTATTAGCCAGCTTCTAAGTAGGTCTTAGAAACCTTGTGTTCAACCGCAGGAAGATGGTAATACCCCTGCCAGCATCTGAATGTGGATATACAATTGCTGCATAAATGGGAAAGTTAAGAAAGCTCTCTGGTGATAGGGCATAGGACTTAGGTTTTTGTTGAACGGCATATTTCTACCTGTCACTTATCTCTTAAATTATATCAGAAACTATTTTAAAATAAGATGATGTTCATATGCCACAAAACCTAGCATATAACAACTCAAATGAACTGGTGGGACCTGCCCAAAGCACTGTGTTGAGGATTCTACAGCTGTGACACAGGACAGTAGAAAAGAGATATATAAGAGATTATTCCCAGGGCTGTATCTGAAGACCCTGGAATATACAGAATAATTCCATTCTTGAAAGACAAAAATTAAGTTTGCTGGAATACTATCAATTGTTTTCTTTAGGAAACATAATGATTTCATTTTCGTTTTGATCTTTATTATATATTTTCTAATTTGTATGCTATCAAAATGTTTTCTTTGTATAATAAAAAGTTTAAAATCAGTGCTTCTCCCTTCCCCACCACCAAAAGTTTTTTATTAGATCACAGCAATCCCTGACACTGTCCATTAGCCAAAATGACAATAAAAAATTAAACCCTAAAAAGCAAGACTCACTACAAAAGTTAGTATTGAGAGGTCAGAGCCATCAGTTGAGAAAACAGTCAATTCACACATCATTCCATTTCAAATGCACTCATTCACTCAGCAAACATTTATTAATCGTTCAAAGCATATAATTAAAGCGGTAAATGGCCTCATTATAAATGTCCTCATTGCTCTTTCTTTTTTTCCAACTTTATTTTTAGCACCAAAAGTGGTTCTTAAGGATGTGAGGTCTAGGTGGCTGAAAAATGGGTCATTCTATTAATTAAGAACAGGGCAAGTGGGAAGGACCTGTTTTAGTCCTATTTCATCAAGATGGCTAATTACTGTGTGAAATTGATCTCCATGTCTGTGCTAAGAATGTGATCCTGGACTTGGGAACAATCCATTTAAGATAATGACTTACCAGCCTTGGGGCTTCAAAGTCAAGTGGAACAGCAATATGGTTTTTATGAGAGGAAGACTTTTAGGGACAAAGGGCATTTTAAAGATAATTGTAGCTCATGTTAAACAAAATCATTATTGAGAACTCCACAACAGAAGAGATGTCTCAATTTCTCATCCATTGCACTTGCCACTGACACTAGACCAACTCCTTTCGCTCTTCATCTTGGCAGGAAGGTGAGGATTTCCTCAATGTTGTAGGCTGAGCTAAAGACCCAGAGGGATTAATCTAACAACATCAACAACAACGAGTATTTCTTGAGTACTTACTATGTGAACTATTCGAAGAACTTCTTATGTATTAATTCACTTGATCCTTTCAACAATCCTATGAGATAGGCATTATTAGTATCTGCACTATATACTTGAGGAAAAATTGAGGCACACAGATGTTAATAGTGTGCCTAAGGTTACATGGTTTATAAATGGTGGATCCAAGGTTCCAGCCTATTCAATCTGATTACAAAGTCTGCACCCTTAACCAGATGACATGTTGCCTCATAGTTTTTCTTTCTGTGCCCCTATCTCCTTCTTGAAGCTATACTTTGGATAGATTTTCAAAAAATTATGAATGATCATCAGAATTAACTTTAGCCAGGCAGGCCGGGCATGGTGGCTCACGTCTATAA